AGCTGGGACCACAGGCGCCCGCCACAACGCCTGGCCATTTTTTGGTTGCAGCCGTCATTGTTGTTTGGCGGATCCGGGCTGGGGATTTGAACCCGCCACCTTAGGTGTACGTGGCTGGCGCCTTAGCCGGCTGAGCTATAGGCGCCGAGCCTCTTATTTCTATAATGATGAAAGAAACTCCATCTTTTTCCTCTGCAAAGATGCAACACTACGTAAATGCTTAAGTGAAAGTAAAACAAACGCATAATGCAAGAGCAAATACTGTCCACCCAGAGCAGTATTTTGACATGATCTTCATGAAACTATAGCTTTTCTAGCATTAGCTATGAATTTCTGTAACTGCCTGCTCACTGAGTCATCAGTAAATTAACTATTTAGATATTTCCCAGTAGTTAAGGTATTTTTTTTCCCATAAAGTGGCTGCCTTTTATCTTTCCTGAATGAAGCACACATATAACATAGTGTGTGCAGAATGAAAGCTTGCTTTATTGTTTCCTGGGAGTAAATAAGGAACTTCAGGAAGCAGTTGAATGATGTCAGTATAATGGGACACCATTAACTAAATGATAACACTGTGGAAGTAGTTGGTACTGTTTTCGGTTTTTTATTATATTCCCCTATTTTTACCTTTACCCCAAACCTGTACTTTTCAATGTTTGGTGACTAAAAGATAACCAGATTAAACTTGATTTTTTTCTTTTTTTTCCTCATGACAATAAATACTAAAATTGTTAGATGAGAAAATATAGCACATGTTATTAAAAGACATATGCAATGATTATGTAGACCATTTGGTCAAGTGAAAAATGAGTGACTTACTGATTGAATGAAATGGTTGGCTTCATTTAAAGGCAGAGAAGGAGGAGCGTTCTTCTTTTCTTTCCTTGTTGATTTCTTCCCTAATTGATCTCCTTTCTCCAGGATGGCTAGATAGGCATTAAGCAATTCTACCCTTGATCTTAGCCAGAAGGCTGAGAAGCGATGCATTAAGCAATTCTATTACTGAAAATCCTCTGTCCTGTTTTGTACTTTACTGTTGTGCTCAGGTGCAAGGGAAGATTGAAATCTTGTCCTTTTTTGATTCTGCAGCTTATGTATCTTGTATCTACTCATAGAAAATACTAATAGTAATTGGTAAAGCAAGATAATCCTTTTTGGAATTAACTACTTTTTGCAATCTAGTTCTAAATAATTTTTATTATTAGGCCTTTAAAATTCTAATCCAAATCAGCAAAAGCTTCCTAGAAAAGTATAATTGGCACCTTTAATTATACATACAACTTGGTAATTGTAGTTCATGCATTTGACAGTATGCTCTGCATTGATATTTGGTTCTTTCAAGTCAGTGTCTGACTTGAATAATGAATAATAATCTGTGGGAAATACAAAGATTTTTAAATTTTTTAATCATTGCATATTTTTTAATTTGGGAATTTACTTCAGATGAGCTACACTTTTTATATTGAACTTTTTAGAAACAGAAGAAACAGGATTTTATTTACATAAATATTACACTTCTTATACTGTAACTATTATACTATGACTATATTATGATTAGTGTACATTGACTGTCTAGGGTATCCAATCCTTGGGTATCATTTCTAGGAAAACACTGAGCGAGCCAGAGGAAATATACTCTTTGGGCTGTGCCTGTAGCTCAAAGGAGTAGGGTGCCGGCCCCATATACTGGAAGTGGTGGGTTCAAACCCGGCCCTGGCCAAAAACTGCAGCAACCACAACAAAACAGCAACAAAAAAAAAGAAAAGAAAAGAAAAGAAATATACTCTTAATTTTAATGCTAAAATTGAACCACGGCTTGAATTGTCAGCAAATTGAACTTTTATTATTTATTTTTATTTTTTTTTTTTTTTTTTTTGCAGTTTTAGGCCGGGGCTGGTTTTGAACCTGACACCTCCAGTACATGGGGCCCACACCCTACTCCTTTGAGCCACAAGTGCCACCCTAATTTTTAATTAAAATAGTAACTGTATACACTTATGTGGTACAATGTGATGATTTGATATACAATGTGGAATCCTTAAACTGATTAACATAACCATTACCTCACTTATTTTTTGTGGTAAGACATTTAAAATTTATTCTTAGTTATTTTGAAATACACCCTTGCATTGTGCATATTAGGCAAGATCCCACCAAATGTCCTCCCTCCTCCCACCAATCACTCTTCCCTTTCCCTCCCTCTCTCTCATTTCCCCTCCCCCTTGGTAGAGTATATTTTATATTTGTGTTTTATCACTTGTATGAGAATGTAAAATATATGGCATGCTTCACTAATTTGCATGTCATCCTTGCATAGGGGGTTATGCTGATCTTTTCTGTATCATTTCAATTTTAGTATATGTGCTGCTGAAATAAGCATCAAATTGAACTTTTAGAAGGAAAGGAAAGGGTGTGCATGGCAAAACCAGGGAAGAAAAAAAGTTGCTCATTTATAAGGTGATTATTTTGGACTTAGTAGTTTGCAGTTTGTAGAGCTTATTAATCTGTAAAACACATTTATTATAAGTGAGTTACAGGGTATTATGAAAGTGGTTTATATAGTAGCCAGCCTAGTTATAGTGACTTAAAATGTGAGTTTTGAAAGTGTAAGATCATTTTCTTCTGACCTACATTTTTTGAATTTAAAATTCCTAAGTTCATTCCATTTATTGTATTGTATTGTTGGTGCTAAATGCTATGTTGGTTTTCTGACATAAACAATAAGCAAAATTTTTTATTCTGTAGTATTTGGAATATTAAGGACCAAATGCTAAATCTTGATTGTTTATCTGGTTTTAGAGACAGTTTCTTTAAGAATGTCCTTAATTAAACAAGTGATAGATGGGTAATGTCTCAGAAGAATTTACCACTATATAGAAAAAGACAAATTCTTCCTTTAATATCTCTCCATTTACCTCTCAGCAGTAATTATTGCAGTCAGCTTGATATCTTTTCAACCCTTGTGGTTTTTGTGTGTGTGTATAGTTTTATGTTGTATCTGTATTTTAAACATATTGCCTGTGTTTTTCTGCATTCTACCTCTTACCCCATATGAAATACAGATGCTCCTCAACTTACAATGGGGTTATGTTCCGATAAAACCATTGTAAGTTAAAAGTATTCTAAGTTAAAAAGGCAGTTAGTACACCTAATCTACCAAACATCATAGCTTAGTCTGACTTCTTTATAAATGTGCTCAGAACATTTACATTAGCCTACACTTAAAAAAAAAATCATCTGGCAACACCACAGTATACAGTAATTGTACAGAACTTAGTTGTGCCGAGAGCAGTGGCTCTTGCCACTGCCTAGCATTGTGAGAGACTGTGGTATAGCGTGTCACTAGCCTGGGAAAAGATTAAAGTTCAAAAGTATGATTTCTATTGAATATGTATTGCGTTCAGACCATTGTAAAATAAAATAATAGTAAGTTGAACCATTGTGGACTTTATGTCTTCCTATCAGTATTTACATAGTTCTAACTCATTCTTTAACGGTTACATAGTATTCCACAGTATACAATTACTGTAGTTATGTCTCACTCTGTTACTTGGCTAGAATGCAGTGGTGTCACAGCTGACTGCAACCTCTAACTCTTGGGTTTAAGTGATCCTCCTGCCTCAGCTTCCTGAATAGCTAAGACTCTAGATGCACGCCAGCATACCTGGTTAATTTTTTCATTTTTTGTAGAGATGGGGTCTCACAGGGTTTCTCAGGCTGGTCTCAAACTCCTGGCCTGAAGCATTCCTCCTGCCTTGACCTCTGAAAGTGCTAGGATTACCCTGTACCTTGCCTATTTATTACAGTTTTATAAAAGAATTTTAAATAGTGCTATAGCAGTTGACCCATTGTGCATAAGTTTAGTGGTATCTTAATTTGGAAATGGAAAATATTTGGTTTCAGTTTTCTTCTCTAGGTAGATAGAACACATTAAGTTCTTTATCAAAACTGTGTGGGAAGAAGCAAAAATCAGTTAATCCATAGTTGGATTATTCTAGTGTCTTTTAAAAGTGCCTGATAGTGTACTATTCTAAGTAGATGATTTAATACAGTTGAAACTGACTGATGGTTGCATTACTGAGTTCCCACTTTGGGAAGAACAAAAATGAATCCAGTATTTCTGCAGTAAGACATAATAGCTAAAAGCACCTTGTATTTAGGCTGTATAGATTCTCTTTGATGAATGAGACCAGGAAGGAAAACCATCCATGAGGGTAGAAGGTCTCAGGAGGATCAGTTTTCCTGTTCTAAGTTAGATCCCCTGTACCTCCCATTGTGTCTGATATGACATAGACATGAAAATGTATGAATGAGCACATAAATGCCATATAATATATATGAGGCATGTTCATCTTTGAGTTGAAAATAACTCATTAATTAAAGCTGCAGATTGTCTTGACTTGCATTGAGATTAATAAATCTGTAATTTTGAGCTGTTAAATTCTTTGATAAATTATCAGAAAATCGTTGTGTTCTTTTGTTACATTTTACTTTCTTTTATAAGTGATGTTATCTTTTCATGTAGATTAACATTGTCTAAATTAAGCTACTTAGATAACTTTGTCCAAGCTATTCAAAATGAACAACTATGATGACTGTATTTTAGCGTGTCTCCTACCAGTGGTTCCTATCTTTATTATTTCCATACTGAGGATACTTGGGGTTTTTTTGTTTTTTTTTTTTTAAGCTTAGGAAACATTTTCGGACTGCTTACTATGTGATAAGCCTAAAGCTAATGCCAAGGATACAAAAATGAATGAATTGCAGTCTGACCTTTCCACCATCTCAGTGCTGAGAGAGGAATAAAGGAGTATGTTAAGACAAAGTCAGTGTTCATGCCGAGTGCAGTTGTAGGGTTATATGTAGGACTATAATTCTGTATTTTGCTATTAGTTTGGCCATTCTGGGACTGAGACAGTTTGTAGGCCAGGAGTTTAAGGTATCTCTAGTTTATTATCATGCTTCACATTCTGGTATTACCATTTATGGATAACCTATGGGTGAATAACCAGATTTTAGTATGTGTATGGTATTCTTCCCTCCCTCATTCATTTTCTTGGCCCATAGAGTGCTCTTTTGATGCAAAGGACCGTGAACCATCTTTGGCCTCACCGGCCAAATGCTACTGGAAAGAAACTGTCTTCCCATAATCATTAACTTTTTTGTGTGTTTGTTATCTTCTTGTAATTAGTTTGAACACTAATACTAGCAATTTCAAGAGATGGCAATATTTAGGGTCCTCTGCTAGTGAATTCTTTTTCTCTGTTTTGAAAGGGGATACTACTATGTGTAAAAGGTAAGTGATCCAAGCTTCTGAATTTTTATACTCTCCTTTTGTGTACTCACAGGTGGGCATTGTTATCTTGGTGTGAGGCAGAAACAGTGCCATCCAGCTATGTTGCTTTTCATTTCAGGTTGGTAGCAGCTTTGGCAGCAGTGCAATAGTTTGGCCAGGTATTCTCAAGTTGTAGTTAAAAAGATTCTAGCATTTATGCTATACAGAGTAAATAAAAGCCCTTTTTCCTTATATCTTCCTTTTTTTTTTTTTTGGTCCTGAATTTAGAATGGTGCCAACATGCTCTCATCTTATATTGGAAGCTGACTCTCTCATCTTATATTGGAAGCATCTTATATTTCTTTTCCACTAAAAGTTAAGCTTCGTGAATGTGGGAACTCTTGTTCACAGCTGCATTCTAACACTTAGAATAGTGTTGAATGAATAGCCCTACCCAGAAGACTGAGAGAATCTTTAATACATGAATTTTGTTTTAGAGCAACGGAGTATATTCCTATGCATTATGCGAATTATGTTCATTTTATGTAGCCCAGCATTAGGTCTGGGCTGCCTCATAACCAGGATCATTTGCTGGAGTTAATGAGAGTATTTCTACTGCTGAGCTTACCCGGGGATGAGGAGTGTCATAACTGAAGTCTTCTGGGCCTGTAGGGTTGTAAGCTTAAACTAAAATCCCGGTGAGGACGGTAAACCTTTGCAGTCCTAGGGAGCCTTTTCAGCATATCCTACAGAGACAAAAATTCTAATCTTTTTGGTTGTGACATCTTGTGTAAGGAGTTCCTGCAATTCTTAGGGCACTAGTCTATTCGGGTCATGCCGTGGGGAAAGCCAGTAGTCAGTTTATTGTCCTGTTTAAGACTTGGGATCTGCAACCAGGCCTCTTTGTTGGAATCTTGGCACTGCTATTTCCCTTATATGTGATCTTCAGCACATTACTTATTTTGTTTCTCAATTGCCTCATCTTTAAAATGAAAATAATAGTACCTAATTTATAGTGTCATTTGTGGATTAATTTAGGCAAAGGGCTTAGAAAATATCCCTGGTATATATATAGTATAAGTGTTTAATAAATGTTAAAACATTTATATATTCAGTACAGAGGAAATTCATAACCTCTTTTACGCATTGTCATTCTAATATGCTTCCCTGAGAAAGGCAAAACAGCACCGAAGTGCAGCTGATGTTCTGGGAATTTCATATAGATCTGCCTATTGCTGGTGGGGGTTTGTTGAGTGTATGGTGGCACATAGCATCAGGTGTTAATGCTCTCATCCATCACCATGTGTCAGGTAGAAAACAGGTGGAGAACCTTTGCTCTGGAGAGCTCTAATTATCCCCAAAGCAGACTGTGCTCAATTTGACAATGTCATGATTTTTAATATTTAAAAATTCCAGAATTCTACTGTGGGATGTAACCCTTTCTTCTTCTACCTACTTTTTGCTTTTACTTAAACAGCTGAGTGAATATGATGCTCCACTTCCCATACAGATAACCCAAATGACTTGACTGCTGAAATATGAGGTATCTTATGTACTGTCAGCATATAACTTGTTGCTGTATCATTAGATGTTTGAAATTTACACTGTTATCTAAATTTGACTCCCAGTTTTGCCAAGCTTCAGTTTTTATGTCAAATAGTATAAAAGTATCCACTTCATAGTGTTGCTATGAGGATTAATAATGAGAACCAGACACTCACCATCGTGTCTTATATGTAATAAGTCTCAAATATTAGTTTTTAAAATTAATATGTTGTACTCATCATCATGTTTGTCATACTATGTTTCAAATCAGCAATGAAATACAAACTATACTAATCCTCATTTCTGCTTGGAACTGTGAATCAAAAGAGTATGTAGCAACTCCCTACTTGAAATGTACTGCAAACCTGCCTATTGTGGTCAAGATTTTACTACCTTCTAGGGTATACAGCAGTATTTTTCAACCTTTTTTTTTTTTTTAAATCTTAGGGCACACTTGAACCTATAGTTAAACTTTCAGAGCATACTTAAGTTATGTTGATCCAAAAAAAAAAAAAAGAGTTAAAAAAGGTATATACTTATTGTGCTTTGAACTTCTTTTG